TACAACGAGCTCATGGACGTCAACTTTAAGTTGTCCGAATGGGAGCAACGGCTTCAAGGGAACAGGGTTATCACTATGGCCCCAGAAGACTCCAGCGAGGAGCTCAAAGGAAGCCTGTGCATTGTGGATGCTAAAGCACTTTATGATCACCTTTCCAAGGAGACTGCAGGCCCATCAGCGGACAAGAGAACTGGTCTGGAAATTCAGGTCATCAGACAGAGCATGAGTGCTATCAACAGTGAAGTTCGATGGGTGCCTCACCCCCGCATGGTGGTGGACGGCTTGACTAAGAAGGGAGCCAACATGAACGCTCTGTATGACTTGTTGGACACTGGAGAGTACCAGATCGTCGACGAGGCCCAGGCTATGGAAGAGAAGAAGCTTGAGCGTGAGCACCGAGGCTACAATAAACGCTAGCAGCAACGAACGAAGTTCGGGGAGCTGTGAAAGCAAGTGTAGTGTGCTCTTCGTTGCTGTGCATAGAACGTGCTGCGATGTGACTGGCTCATCAGGGGCCCCTTGAGTAGATGTTTGCTACGCAGATGCTGATAGCAGGAAAACAGATGGAGTGCGACTGCTGAGTGCAGATAGTGCACAGGAGACTGCCACCTGTTATCACAGGTGGTAGCGGAGCCACGTCTTTGTGGCTGAGAGATGCCGGTGGGTGCGCAGCCACCGAGCGAGCAGATCCAGGGCGAGAGCAGCCGCTGGAAGGACAGAGAGCCCCCACCTTCCTTTGATGGACGGAGCCCCGACAAGGAGTTTCCGCGTTGGTTGAAAGAGTTGGAGTTTTGGAAGTACGAGACTGAGATCCCCAAGGAGAAATGGGGTGTGAAGGTCTTCAGACAACTCCAAGGCTCTGCTAAGTCGGTCGCAGATGGCATGACGTTTGAAGAGCTGGCTTGCGATAAGGGACTGGAAAACCTGATGAAGGTTCTCAAAGAGCACTACGATCCCCATCTGCAGGTTTCCCTGCCAAAGGCCTTCGAAGAGGCGATCTACGGTGACATTCGCTCGGCAAAGGAGTCGTTCAGCGATTATGTCATCAGACTTGAACGCAACTTCAAGGAGCTGGAGAGGCAGGGAGTCAAGCTTCATGAACTAGTGGTTGGCTATGTGATGTTCAGGCATGCTAATCTTACCGATGTTCAGGAAGCTCAGATGTTGACCTGGGGCTCAGGGAAGTACGATCGGAAAACTGTGATCGAGAACTTACGCAAGCTAGACAAGGGCATCTTCGACGTCAAGCGGAGAAACCACGCGTACCTGCTGGATGGAGATGACGATCTTGGCGAAGAAGAAATGGAAGGCCCTGAAGCCTTCCTCCAACAGGGTGAAGATGAGGCGGAGTCGGACGGCGACGAGGACTACGTGTACATCGGCGAGGAGGACTTAAAGGATGTGTACGAGGAGGAGCACATCATGGAGGCCTTGGCTACATACCAGGACGTCAGGCGTTCCCTTCGTGAACAAAAGAACAGCCGAGGCTACTATCCCTCAGGAAAGGGATCTTCGTCCCCAAAGGGCTATGGCAAGGGCTCTGGAAAGGGCTCTGGCAAGGGCTACGACAAGGGTTACGACAAGGGCTACGGCAAGAACAGACCGATGCTGGACTTCCGCGGCAAAGGCAAGGGACAGATGAAGTTTGGGAAACATGGGACAAAGGTGCACATCGACTTACTCAAGCTGAGAACAAAGTGTGCAAGGTGCGGCGCAGTTGGCCATTGGGCTCGGGAATGCACGAACGCTCCAGATGAGAGAGGCCGCGCGTCGTTTCCCAAGTCTCCCTCGGCTTCGACATCGTCCCCCTCGACTAGGTCAGGCTTCTTTGTGGAGTCGAGTGGACATGCACAGACCGACGCGCTGCTCACCGAAAACGAGTCCGTGAGCTTTATGTCGTACTTGCCTACCTTCGGTAAGA